TGTATAGTTTTCTATCCAAGTGGTTTACTTGTATTCTTTAAGTTAAATTATCCCTTATATTAGTTTTCTTATCTACTTATAAGATTTCAACTCTGATCCTTTTGTGTAGCTTTGCCACTGTTATAATACTAAACATTTTCTCTTTTTAATAGCTTTTATTTGCAAAGCCTAGGCTATATGTGATAAAAATAGCAACTGAAATTTACTATAAAAGATAGATCACTAGAAAAGGCTGCAAAAACAAAATCTCTTTTAGTTTTAAAATTAGTGCTAAATTATTCTGGGTAATTTACAGCACTAGTAATTTCTGTCTAAAGCTGTCCCCAATGTTTCCTTGGGAATATCGCCCTGCTTTCCCCAAACTGAGGTCACCCCTGTCTCTGGAAAGCATAGGGGGACAGTTGCTTTCAACTCCTCCTGGATCAGAAGAAGTTGAGCAGCAGGGAAATGCTCCCTGAACCTGAAGGTGATCAAAAGGTCACCCTGGTCTGGGGAGTGCATGAGGAGGCAGTGCAGATCTGCTAGGTTTCCTCTGCAAGAAACTATGTGATGCTACAACTCTACAAATGCCTGCGCACCCGCAGTTTGTAGCAGGAAAGTGGTATTTCTGCTAAAAATGCAATGCCTGTCCACACCCTTTGGTCAGGGGTTCTCAGCTTGCGGAATGGGCCGCTACTGTTGCAACACTACTACCAAAACAGAAAGAAGTAGAAAACTATTGACTTATTTCTGTATCTTCACAGTAAGTTGAAGTTTGTAACTTGGTTGAATTTTAAGAAGTGGCCAGATCTTCAAGAGCAGGAGGCACTGAAGGATCTGTTAATGTTTGATACCTCTGTAAAAATCTATGACAGTAAAACCTAAGTATGGTTTTAAACACTTACTAAATATCTAACCCTCAGTATTATGACCAGAGTGTGTTCAATTATACAAATCTATGAAGATCATTATGAAACCTCTTGTGAAACAACTTGTCCAATGCAACATTTAATTACTTCTGGCTTCATATAATATGTGTAGTATCATAGTATCCAGGAAACAGTTATATGCTTATTTCTGGAAAAGAATGGATGTACTCAGCCAGTCATATGGTTGTGCTTAATTACTCAGTAAGGTGACAAACAGAAGGGATTTGAAGAGTGGCTTAAATTCATAACTGCAAATAAAAACAACTATTATAAACATGGCAATCATATGAAATCCTTTGGAATTATAATTTTCTTTTAAATTAGACCATTGATAGCTTTTAAGGCTTATTGTACTTTTTGTTCTATTAAGTAATGCATGGTTGAGACATCAGATGAGACATTACGTGATGCCTGCAACACAGAGTATCTAGCATCCTCTATATCAATATTACGTGCTCATTCTTGTTTGATAAGGTTATTAGCATATCCTTGTTTGAAGAGGTTATTAACATATCAAAAGTCCTAAATATACTTTTAAAGTGAATAGTCATGCTGTGTTCCACCTTGCAGCTATCCCTCCACCTTGCAGCTATCCCTCCACGTCCTGTAACAGCACAATAATTAGCTGGGAAAAACAAGAACATTGAGAATTAAAGGCAGTCCTTTACACGTTAAACAATTTAAAAGAAAATTAAATTTGAAAAAGATGAGAAAACACTGCATTATGGCCCCAGTTCAAGAAAACACTTAATATTTTAAGCATGGAATTAAATTCCATTGACTTCCGTGGAATAAAAAAAAAAAAATTCATTTGCTGCCCTGAGCAGGGCTGCACGCCTGAGCCAAGTCCTCAGTTTTTTAGTAGAGTGAAATCCACAATGAATAGACAAATGAAGAAAATGACATTAAGCTAAGCAGACAAAGACTTGAATAAAGCACAAGAAACAGAATGAATATAAAAGGAAAGAATACAAAAGTGATGAAACAAGGGAAGACAATAAGTGTGCCCAGAAAGAACTCAGCCCCGAGGCAAAGAGAAAAACATAAATGAGAGAAATTTAAAAAATGAAAACTAATTGCCAAAACATGAATCTGTTTTGTGTTAACTGTGCTTTGCACTGTTTGGTTTACAACCATGCAACAATATACTACATCTAACTGAAAAAAATAAGGAAAGTAATTTACAAATTATAATATAAGCCCAGAAGAATCTCTATATTTAATTGATCAGAGACTTCCATTGTCAAACTACCTATACTAGTATATCTCTGTATTGCGTGTGTATGGAACTTAAAAAAAACAACTCAAACCCCTCCCTCTCCCCTCCTCCATACTATCTGTATCTGTTAACTTCTATTCACTACAATAGTTTGGGGGCATTTAGACTTTACCTGTTCATGTGAATCCTCAAATATTTAAAAATATTATGCTATACACCTCTGAAGGAATAATTTGTATTGTAATAAGATCATAGCTTGCGAAAGACAAGCAATAAGATCATGTGATTATGTTGTTTTTATTGGATTGGATTCCATCGGGTGGAAGGATTCCATCAATTTTTTTTTTAAAAATACACAAAATAATATTTTTTTGTTGCTTCTTCTTCCTGACAAAAAAAAGAAGAGAAGACAATACCTGTTGAAAGAAAATCCACACACCTCAGCATACCTGAGGCCAATGGTACATGAATTCACCCAACAGTTTCCAGGTCAAAAAAACAGGACTGTCACTACTGTGTACCTGCATAAACAATTCACATGCTCTTCTGTCTTACTCAGACTATCTTCCACAATGTCAGTTTCTTGAAGTTTCTGGAAAATTCTATTTTGTGGTTACATTTCTCTGCAATTTTAAAGATCAGTCCAAATTTTCACCCATTCTGTGGCCACATTAGTTGGCTGCTCAAAGCAGCCACAAACCTACCCATCCTAACCAGCGCAGAATTCTCCCTATGCAGGAAATTTCCAACTGCTGTAGTTGCTGCTCTTGTGGACCCAGGCTATGAGATGCCCTTCTTTACCAGCACCCAATGATTATGAGAAAGGCCCTTATCAGTCACTTGGCAACCAGCATTTGCAGCTGTTCTATTTTATGCCAATGGCTAAGCCATATCTTGTCACACCCAGAGACTCAGGATAAAATGGTGGCTTACAAGCCCCCTTCTCCTTTTCCTATAAGCTGCACCTGCCATAGCTAGGATGCTGTGCATAATACAATCCATCCCATTGACAACCAATTCTCTTACTGTTTAATAAAAAATAAATAAATAATAATAATCGATCAATTACTAGAATTATTATTGTTAACTAGCCAACTGTCTGTCAAGAAAGATGCGGGGGGGGGGGCAGGCAGGGGTGGAGCACCACCATCCACCACCACTGCCTCCCAGAAACAGGGGCGGGGTGGAAGGGAGCTGCCCAGCTGCATCTCTGCGGCTGCACACGTGCACAGGCCTGGCCAACTCAGGCCGGGAGCCCCGTGCCCCCTCTTGTACAGGTGGCAGTACTGGGAAGGGCAGCTCCAGGAGGTAAGATGAATGTTGGGGGCTGTGCTGTCTCCTGGTCCCCAGCTCCCTGCCAGCCCCAGTACCAGGCCAGCAGGGGCAGAAGCACACTGCTGCCACGAGCAGCAAATCGGCTTCCACTTCCTGGCATGTAGACATCTGCCGGGGGTGGGTTTACTCTAGATTAAATTACTCAGTAAAGTAATCTAGAGTAAACACACCCTGGCACATCTGCATGTGTAGACCTGCCCAAGAAGTTTATTTCCTGTAGATCTGAGGAAGACGTATGTTAAACCTCAACATCTACGTCACACGTTAGACTACCAAGGTTTCATTTTCAGTTATTAAAAAGTAAAGGCGATTTTAACTTGTGTAACCTAAAAACACCAAACAAGATGTATTTTGGACAGCAGTTTTTATAAACCAAGCCCCAGTCCTGAGTATGAGTGAAAACACTGGTTACCATGGTAAAATGTTGAGAAATACTTGCACTTTGCAAATCCAACAGGTGTCACTAAGATGCCCTTTACCGTTTCCTCATAAGAGATAGGATTTATGTTGAAAATATGCAAGGAATTAGAGGAAACAGTGGATGGAAAGTAGTATAAAATTCTTAAAAACCCACTGATGTTTGCTAGCATGTGTCCCTGCAGCAGCGCTCCTGAAGTTCCAGTTAGGTGGCCTGGTACTATATATAACTCCCCTGCTCTCTGTTCACAACATTCTCTCTCTCTCTTAAATTATCCATTTGCCCCTTCTTGCAATCCAAACGACCTTGAGAGGTCATGACTCAAGAGCCATGGCTGCTCCCTCCCTGCCCAGGACTTGATGGAGGTGAGAGGCAGCATATCCAGCCCCCTTCTTAATCGTGCTAATGAGAGCCACGGGCATTCATCCATCCTGCCGCTGATGTCACCGTACAAAGAGGCCTTCCAGAAACTCGGATTTATTTTCCCTTCCCCACTACAAGAAGAGGAACAAAGTTGCCTCTTGGACGACAGCCACCTCCCGCTGCTCGGGGGAAGTCCCCGCCCGCTGCGCACTGCAGCACGGCAGGGTACAGGCGCCGTCGGGAGCCGGCCATATCGCAGCATCCGAGGCCCGCGGTTTCGGGGCGGAGGGAAAGATGTGCCAGAGCCGTGAGCTGAGGCTGCTGCTCCGCTCTTACATAAGCCGCAGCCATGCGGAAGGGAGGAGTGGGCGCAGCCTCCTGCCGGACGGGCGGATGCGGCCACCGCTCCCCGCGGAACGGGCGAAGCGGACCGAGGGCGGAGCCCCTCGGGGTGGCTCCGCATGAGCCTCGTGCTCCCGCCGCTCGCCCGCTGCACGTGTCCGGAGGGGGCTGAGCTTCGCAGGGAGGCGCAATCCGCGGCGACTGGCCACGGGTCACGTACACACGGGAGGCGGCGGGCGCCGGCTCCGCGCCCCGGGACGGGGCGGGACTGGAGGGACGTGGAGGAGAGGGAAGGGAGGGGACAAGGGAAGGGGGGCGCCCGCCCGCAGCATCCCCGGGACCACAGCGTGGTACCGAGACATGAAGGCGCCGCAGCTCCCCCGGCCGCGCCACCCGGCCCCGGCCCCTGCAGTACCTTGCGCATCGCCGCCGCTAGTCAGCACCCCGATGGCCTTGCCCGCCCCCGACAGGTTCTCGAACAACTTCTTGTCGGCCGGGTGCGGCTCCATGGCTGGCGGGCGAGCGCGGGGCTGAGGGACGAGGAAGACGAGCGCGAGAAGAAAGGAGCCGCCGTTGCCGCCGTGTGACAGCTCCGCGCGGAGCAACCTAACCCCCACCCCCACCCCGCGCCGCTGACAGGCGGCACAAGCAGCCAATGGGAGCGCACCAGGAGGAGCGCGCGGGCCGGGGGCGGTCCGAGACGCCGCAGGGAGGGTACGCTGCGCTGGGATGCAGGCGGCGACGGGACACCTGCGGAGGAGGGTGCGGCGCGGTGTGGTGCGCCGCGCCGGGCCCTGCTCTGTGCCCCCGGCCCGCCGACTCCCAGACCTGCGGCTCCCCCGGGAAAAGACCTGGTGCGGGGGCTGGGGGAGGGCAGCGCGGGCCGCCAGTGTCCTCTCCATCGGGAAAATATAAAAGTTATAGGGCAGGGCAGGGGGAAGGGAGTTGGTAGAATGAAAAGAGATCACTTTTTAATTACACTGTCCATGTTGCAACCCAAATTAAATTCGAAATCCATGAGTCCGCCCAGAACCGTAAGTGGCCCTAACACCCGCAAACGTCCTCTGCCCCTTTTGGGGGCTTCAGATGTTTCCAAACCCTTTGGCGGGTGTCCTACGTGCAGGCCCAAGCCTGGAGGCTCAGGTGGGACGTCCCTAAGCATTGCTTGCCCTCAGCCCTATGGGCAGGAGCCAGCTGGGGCGGAGTCCCTGCTTTCTATGAAGCGGGCATAAAGCTAAGACTTTCCTGCTCCAGCAGGACCGCGGC